GCGTGCGGGCACCAGCGCCGCTGCCCTGCATCGCAGCCGTTCCTGTAGCATGCTACTGCTGACTTCGCTCCGCGGTGTCCTCGGTCTTCCGGTTGTTCCCTGTCCCTGACATACCCGCGTCCTTCCCCGATTTCCTCTCCCGTTCCCCGAGCACGTACACACACTCCCCTTGGCCGTATTGCTTCCCTTGCTGCTTTTATACGCACTTCACCAGACTCCGTCTCTCCCACCTTTCCGGAATGCGTTTTCATAGACTTCTGTGAGGCCGGAACAGCGCAGTCCTGATCCTTTTATGGTTCTGCACGTTGAGGAAAAAAATACTGTCAGAATGTGCTTGAGTTTGTTTTAGCGGCTACTCTCAGTTTTATGCAGTTAGCGCGCTTATCTGCTGAACCTTGTTTACAGATTTAACTTCATTTGGCTGCAGGGTTGTGTTACAACACCCTACTATTCTGTTTTTAATAGCTGTTGTGGCTGTCTGGCTGTATGACCTGAGCTAGGGTGAGATGCTAATGTTTCCGACTGAAAAATCCTTAAAAACTTTGTCATAGTTTAACCCTAGTTGTCAAATAAGCACCACGTGGCTGCTCACCTCCACCCCCCTCCACTGCCCCCTGCAAGATCGAGGGGAGAATTAGAAAGGAAAAAGCGAGAGAAAGCTCATGGATTTGAGATAAAGAGAGTTTAATGATTTTAAAAATTGGAAGAAAAAAAAAAAACAAAACCAAACACTAACAGAGAGGAGGAAAAGGCAAAAAACACGCAAGGAAAGCAAGTGATGTAAAAGCAAACAGTTGCTTGTTGTCAGCCAACAGATGCCAAACCAGTACCCAAGAAATGGCAGCCCCACCAGTTTTATTGCTGAGCATGACATCATATGGTCTGGAATATCCCTTTGGTCAGTTGGGGTCAGCTGTCCCAGCTTTGTCCCCTCCTGACTGGTACACCCACAGCCTATTCCCTGGCGGGGCAGGGTGAGGAGCGGAAAAGGCCTTGATGCAATGCAAGCAGTGCTCAGCAATAACTAAAACATCCCTGTGTTATTAACACTGTTCTCAGCACAAATCCGAAACATAGCCCCATACAAACTACTGTGAATAAATTTAACTCTATCCAATAAATAGACACGATAAATGCAGACCAACGAACAATACAATAGATGTCATACTGCTGTCTCCAATAGGCCATTGAGGATGAAGGAGGAGATCCTGATGAAATTCCTGTGACCTCAGAACTGACCAACAAAAGAATGCCGAAAAGAACTAGCAAAGGTACAGTGTCTAGACAAATACAGTTCCTTTGTTTCCATGCAAACTATGTTGATTTCTTCTGTCTCATTGATTTAATTTGCAAATTTTAAAAATTCACTTTTTCCTAATGGAAAATGGTAAAACTCTGTTGTGTTAGTGAATGATGACAAGTTTAAATGGTAACATGACACCTAACTGCCATTAGCAAGTCTTGAAACGTGTCATCATTCACTAATGATCATTCACTAATAATTCACTGTCTTGAAACTTGATGAGACTCATAGTTGCAGGTATTTCTGTACTTGTGACTGTGATTGTAGAAATGTGTCAGATACAGAGCAAGCAGCTGGAGCATTGGCTCCTGCGGAGAGCTCTGCTAATGTATATTGAGGTGGCTCCACAAGACTCTGTGTACTAAGTTCCTTGTAGCTATATAACCTTTTTTAACGAAGAAACTGTTGAACCTCCATCATCATAAGGATATGATTTTAGAAGTGAGAAATTACAGTGGGAATAATTAAAACCATTGTTGCAAAAATAACAAACGTGTATAACTTTTGTTAGTGTCATATTTCACTTTTTAACTGTCATTTTGAAAATGAACTGTTCTGAAATAGCTCATTAGTAATTTAAGTATGTTTTGCTTTTAAAAACATTAAGTATTGTGTGGCCCATGTTACCTGTGGTTTATTTAAATTGCTTATAGCCAGTTCCTAAAAAGATACTTCCTGAAACTTTCTCTTAAGCTGCTTCCTTTAAGATAACAGGGTAAAAATAGAGAAAGAGCAGTTGTTTTTGAATCGTGATACACATTTGCTGATGACAGATGTGCCTAAACATGATCTGCGTGTCCAAGATTTTAGAACTGGAGATTAATTCTAAATCAGTTTAATTATTTAAATGGTAAGAGAGAGGGGGTTTGTAACAGTGATGGGGTGTTTCTTTTAAACGGAACACCTTCCTAGACAGTGCTGTCTTTTTAGGTGTTGAAGTGTTGTGCAATGGGAGGACTAGATGTTGAAAAATGTAGCTGTGCTACTTCTAGTTCATACTTAACGCAGTTTGCTTGTTTCAAGTGGCAAGTCATCCTCCATTATATCCAGACAGACCTGGACTTCTGAATCAGGGTCTTAATGATTATTTGTTGAGACAAACTCTGTGTTGAATAAGTAATTTAGTGAAGAGTAGACATGTTATAAATTCAGTGCTATATCTCACTTCAGTGATACTATTTTCAGGAAGAAAACCAGAAGAAGAAGGTGTTGAAGACAATGGACTAGAAGAAAACTCTAGAGATGGCCAGGTAAGTGAAGTTGTGATTGCTGTTACTAAGAATATGCATCGTTTAACCTGCAATAAATATGCATCTACCCTTTTTCTTTCTGTAGGATGATATCGAAGCAAGTCTGGATACCTTGCAAGATATTGACATGATGGATATTAGTGTGTTAGATGAAGCTGAAATAGATAATGGCAGTGCGGTAGACTGTGGAGAAGACTATAGTCCCGATAATATTCTTGATTCTCTGTCTGATAATAAAGACAATGTCGAAGCAGAAATGAAAGAACTTCCAGATCAGCTAACAGAAAATGAGGTGAGGTCTTTGTAAATTCTCAGAAGGTATTTAATAAGTATATAGGCACATAAATTAATTATTTTGGTGTAATAGAATATAGGACATTAATGTGATATGAATTCTGTTTCACATTAGCAGCTCTCATGTGCTACTCCTTAAGTGGTAAATGTTCTTGGACCTGTCAGAGGCTTAAAGTGGACAGGTCACAGCCTTCTTTACTTTTAGTAACGTCTTTGCTTGCCATGAAAGAAGCTTGCAATTGAAAGTAGTGTATTAGTTTTGATGTTCCCTCTTCCCACTTATATGTGTTAAGGCGTATATACGTGTATATCCAGCCATCTAGATATCTATATATATGGAGAGGGAGAAACACGTTTTCAACTCGCAGATAATTTGGAAATCTTTTCCACAGAAATAATGCTCTGGTTTAAAGAATTTATGTTGTGCTGCTTTGTCATAGAGATTTATAAAACAAGAAAATCTGTGTATTGTGTATTGCCCTGTTCTGACATTGCTGGGCTTTGGACTTAGTTTTGAGAACAACTTGCAATGTCATTTACAAACAATGCAGTCTCCTGCTACTGAACAAACAGGGTGATCTGTGTATTATTGTTTGCTCCTCAAATATATAAATGCTTCCTTGGATCCTTGCGGGGTTTTTTTATTTTAGGATGTTTTCTCCCAAACCCAAACATGTTATCCTTCCTTGTCTCCTTATGGGTGTGCTTTTTTGCTTTTTATTTTAGGCCTGTGGTGTCTGTCTCAACATTTTATCATTTACCTTCTGAAAACAGAGTCATTGCAACAACATCTAGTTAACTGGAAAGGCAGTTTACTGGTGTTCTGTAAATTACAGTCATTGTGAATCATGTAACTGATGAGCTTTGGTTAAGTCTTACCGACAGGTCTTAAGGAAGGAAAATTTTAGGGATGTGTTTTGTTTTCAGAAAAGTAGAAAGAAAAGTCAGCCTAAATTCTAACTTCTTTTTTCAGTTGGAAACTAAAGAAGTTGGAAACTGCAAAAACATTTTTCTGTACAGTAACCACAGAAATATGAAATAAATTTCCTCTCTAAATAACAATGTCATGTTGAAATTAAAATGAAAAGTAACTGGAGAAAGGTATCAAATCATAAAGTATATTTTTATGTTGCTCCTCATTGTGTCACATTCTGAAGTAGCAGTTGAGAATTGGAAGATATTTCTCATATTATTGGTAGGAAGAATTGAATACAGAGTATTTCTCTATAACCTAAAGATACTTTCTGTAAGAAATGCTGTAATTCCTTTTTTTACTCTTTTAGGAAGAATATGATGAAATCGAAAACAATTTAGATGCCTCTTCTTCTGATTTAATTGAAATGAAGGTAAATTGAAAATGTAGCTCTGTTTCAGATTGTTGTTACCAGTATTCACTCAGTGCTCATATTACAAGAAAGAGAACACGACCACAATATGAAACTGTAACATACCCAAAGACATGCATGATCTTGCTCAGAATATAGTCTGTCAAATGAGAACAGCCTGTAGTTTTTTCTTACTTTTCAGTCAGCTATCAAGACTTCCTCCACTTTTGTGGCAAATAAAAGCGGTCTTGTACTGTTGATTCTCCTAAGGATTAGACCAAGTAGTACCTGGTTTTATTTCTCCCTCTGCAGTCGATGTATTACACAAAGATAATTTATTGGTCACTTTAACATTCCAAGTTAGATAGAGAATGTAATTGTGGCTGATATTTTGATTTGTCTTGAATGTCCCAGAAAAATTACCTGTATAAAATACGCTGTTGCAGTGGATGGTGAAAAGAAGTGCTAAATATAGTAGGTGAATTGGTGTAGTTTTCAGTCTTGGGATTGGACGGGGAGTTGCTATTATTCTGTGTTACAAAATACATTTTATAAAATCCTCATGCTGTGTTTATTTCCCCAAACAGAAAATGGAGAAGCTACACTTGGAGCCAGGTACTGTTAAAGAAAAACATATTCCTGTCTTTTCAACTAATACTTTTTAAACCATTAACTATTAAAAAAACAAGCAAACAAACATAATTTACATTATTCTTATGATGGACAATCCAGATCATGCAGGGTCATAGAGATTGGAAACCCAATCATAT